AAAGCAGTGGTGACATCCATGGTCCCAGAGCATCCTGGCCTCATCTGCCTTATCTCAGAGAGCAGTCAGCCAGGACACGGCTCCACCTACTGCTCTCTGCCTGTCACCTCTGGGTGTTCTGGATTCAGGGGCTACTACCTCGTGGGGTGTGTCCCCCTGGGCAGGGGCAGGTGCAAGGCGAGCCCGTCCTGGGGTCTGGGAATAGGGCACATTGGGGAGAGCTATGCCCTGCCCTTTCCACTCGTTTCCTTCAGGTTCAAAGGTCCCCTCCTCAGTGAGGCCTTCCCTGACTACCTGCTAAAAATGCTCCCCTCCCCCCCACCCTCCCCGTCTAACATGCTAACAATTTGCTCTGTATCTTCTCATGCTCTCCCTCCCTGTTGGGAATGGAAGCTCCATGAGGGCAGGGATCATTGTTGCAGTCACTGTTGCTGTCTCCATGTCTAGAACTCCAAGTAGGTGCTCAGTGAATAACTGTGTGCAAGAGGACTAGGCATCGTGCGCTCCTAGACCCGTCGCAGTGTCCACCAGGAATCCAAACTATGATAACGTACTGGTGGTGCCAAGAGGCTGAATCAGGACCGGGCTGGCCCCTCTTCCAGAAAGCCCTCCCAGACTTGTGTCCGCTGCTCCCCCACAGGGCATCACTGCCTCGGGTCAGTGGCTGGGGTGTGGTCTTGCCTTCTCTTCCCTGCTCTTTAGGGACAGGGCTGCACCCAGCATCTCTATGGCCCCTGTGCCGGGAATAAGGGGGTGCTGGACAGATGTCTGTCGAGGCGTAAGTAGGATTCAGTTCTCTCGGAAGCTACCCCACCTCCGGGCACATGGGAGCTGCCCAATGGACACGCGTGGAAGGGCCGGGGGCCCGCCTGGCTCGGCTGCTTCTGCTCCTCCTCACCTCTGCCGAGGGCTCCCTGCACCTGTCCTGGCCGGCCCCGCGGGCACGCCGCATCCTGCCTGCGCCAGGCCCAGCTCCGTCCACGCTTTCTGGCTCGGGACGGCTCGTTCCTTTCTCTACGCCTCTGCAGGCCTGGCCTCCCCCTCAGGGTCGGGCATCCTCAAGGCTCCCGCTGCCCTGGAGACCTGCTCCCTGTTCTCTGGGCTCCTCGTCAGGCCGCGTGCGAGTGGCGGCAGAGCAGGACGCCGGGGAGGGCCTGTGTCCCGCCAGCTCCGGGCTGGCTGTCCCGATTGGAAGGAAGGCAACTGCCCCTGCCTGTTGGCCCGCGAGGAGGGACTCTCCTCCTGAGTGCCCCAGTGTTGCGAGGGAACGTGCACTTGCTGAGGAAGCTTCCAGTCTCCAGGGCTCACTGGAATCCCCAGCAAGCGAGTGCGTGTCCCTGGGTAAGAGGGGAAATAAATGCCCACTTAAGCAATGCAGCTTCATCAGCAAAATCTTTGAAACAGGGGTCCTAGGAGCTGAGGGAGTGAAGACTTGGGGCCCCCCAGGTCAAGCTGCTCACTGAGGGGCCGGGGTGGGGGTGGGGTGGGGAGCGCCAGTGTGTGACCAGGGGGCAGAGGGCCTGGTGTGCTGCTGGAGGTGGCAGCTGGCAGCAGTGATGTCCCCGGCATCCTGGGAGGGGATGGCAGCCACATGTCTGTGAGGTGGTGGCAAAATGAGATATTTACGGGCAGAGATATGGGAAGGGAAAGGAGTGGAAAGGGACAAGGAGTGGCCTGTGTCAAGCCTAAGGGCGGTGACCTAGAAGGGCCTTTTCTGAGTTCTTCCTGGGTGGCAGCCGGTCTGAGGACTTCACGTCTGAACTCCCTGAGCCCTCTGCCAGCCCTGTGACGTCGGGAGTAGCCCCATTTTGAAGAGGAGGAAACTGAGGTCAAGTGGCTTGCTCAAGTTCACGCTTCTAGTAAGTGGTGGAGGCAGCATTTGACTCAGGCAGGCTGGCTCCAGAGCCCACGGGTCTCAACCCGGACAAGCCAATTAGCCAAGGGCTTGGTTTCCCCAGAGCGAGGCTCCTGTCTGGAGTTGGTGCTGCAAAGTGGCCACTCCCAGGTGGCTGCTGGCTGCAGTGGGCAGGTGGGGGGCCAGGTGTCTGATAAGACAGCAGGTGAGGCAGAGGAGGCGCCCCGGAGGGCGGCCTGGGGTGTCAGTGAAGGCAGAAAGGTGGGAGAGACGGGCGGAGGCAGCCGGCTGGGTTGTGCAATCCACCAGCCCACGCAGGCTGAGAGCCGCCGCGTGGAGTCGGGGCGAGGAGTCCTCCCTCACGTGGGCTCCTGCTCAGGCCGCGGTGGGTGCTGAGGCAGGATGGGGCAGAGTTGTCTGAAGCCAGTGCTGTGTGCTTGGCGGAGAATGAACCACTGGGGAGCCTCCCCCCAGGGCAATCCAGCTGGTCCCACAATGGGCAGGATGTCAGCCCTCATGGGGCTGTGAAATGCCTTCAAGCCAGAAGCCCTCCACAAACACCTGGATTTAGACACCTGCTGAGCACGGGGCCCTTCAAACTTGCCCCTCAGGGAGGTGGCACCCATTCTGCGGACGTCACTTCTCTCCAGCTATGTTTGGTCTTCCCAGGAATCACAGTCCAGCCCTGATGATTTCCTTGGCTCCCTGCCCTGTTGGCCTGTCCTCGTTGTCCAAAGGGTCAGAGGACCGGGAAGGTGATGGATGCGAAGGGCATGGAGCAGGGCCTGGAGGGCCGCACATGGTGAGGCACCTGCCACTCTGCTTCCAGAGGGCACCGGTGCTGTCCCAGCAGCCAAAGGTCCTCAGCATCCAGGAGTTCATTCTTCAGTGGCTCTTGGACAGACTTAAAAGAGAGAGGGCCCTGGGGAGGCTTCTGTGGAGACACCCTATTCCGAGGGGACTTTGAAGGGGAGGTGGGCCCTGTTCTGGAGGAACCAGTGTCTGTCACACCCCAGGGTGGCCAAAGGCAGCTGGCCCAGAGCAGGGGGTCATTCTGGTCATTCCTGGGGTGCTTGTGGGCTTCTTTTATAGCCACGATTAGTCATGACTTGTCATGCCCCCAAGCATGACCTCTTCAGCGTGCAAAGCTTGGCTCTTCCAAAGGGATCAGAGGAGGAGGAGCCAACGTGGGAGCTGGGGAGAAGGAAACCCCGAGAGTTGTTAGGAAGGACCCTTGGGGTTGTTTGTATTTAATCTGGACTCAGCCCACGGACCCTGCTGTGTCCGTCCACTTTGGTAATTTTCCTCAGTAATTTATAAACTGTGTTCATCTTGTTTTCCTCAGGTAATAGGCCATTATTTCAACCAACTATGCTTTGCAATTGAACCTGAGCATACAACACAAGATTTGAAGACAGATTTCACTTCCCATAGTGGGCTAGTCCTGGCTCAACCATCTGAAATCAGTTTGTATTAATACATATTCATGTAGCCATAGGGGGGTTGACATCCTGCTTGAAGGACCTTCCAGTGGACTTTGGGTAGACCCCCGTGTGAAGACTGGCTCGGCATACCTGGCCCTGACTCCTGCGTGTCTGATCTCAGCCACACTCAACCAGTCCAAGCACTTCTCATGGAGAAAATGGCAAGAATGAGTATGAGGACCCTCCCAGGTGGTGCAAGGGGTGAAGATGCAACCTATGAAGCTGCCCACAGCCTCTGAAGCACAAGTTCGATCCCCCTGCAGGCCAGGGAGCAACCCACATGGCGCAGCAGACCTCTCCTGACTCTCCCGCTGCTTCCTTAAGCAGTGTACTTCCGTTGATCTGCCTGTTCTGTTCCCCACTCTGTCTCTGGTGAATCCTCTCACCTCCCCCCGCCCACCTCTGGCCTGTACCCCAGCTCTTGGATGCATAAATAAATCTTTAAAAAAAATGAGTGTCGCGTGCAGGGCCTTGTAAATTGAAGATGCTGATAGCACTCTTCACTTGGGGTCACTTCCGTAGTGTATTAAGGTCGGAAAGGGAGAGAAAGAACAGGAGGAGGGAGGGAGAGGAAGAATGGGTGAAGAAGTAAACACACCCATTTCCTGTCCTTGGTAAGTTTAACAAATTCTTTGAGGCTTCCTTTCCTTCTCTGTCCACGGGCATAACAGCACTACCTGCTTAATTGTCTTGAGAATGAAGAAAGACAATGACTGATAACGTACCTTGTAAGGAAGGTCATTCATAGCTCGGGGGCAGGGTGGCTGTCACTGTTACCACCACCCTGAGACTTATTTCTATTTGGCTTCTGGTCTATTCTCCCAACTTTTACCCAGCTAGTGCCACACACAAGCACTAGAGATGCATAAGTAACAAGGTGCTATTTCTTCTCTTGTCTTGTTTCAAAAGTACCAATGAATGACTGAATGATGACGCCGCCAATACATGACATCGTACCCTGAGATGCCGTTCTTCACATTCATGTTAATATCTGTGCGGCGACCCAGTCCCTGCCAACCGGGGCAGGTTCCGAGCCTAATTCTATTTATAGGTCCAGCAAGAGGCAAACCCAGTTTGGTTACTTTCCTGGCAAGGCCTGACTCCAGAGCAAGAGTCTGTAGTGTCAGGAACAGAAGCAAAAGTGACTGCGCTGCTCTGATTTTCCTGCCCGAGGAAGGCGGGGGCCAGGGCCAAGAAGCAGGTCACTGGGCTGTTTGTGCTCACGTTCTGCCCAGAGCCTGACGCGCTGCCCAGAGTTAAGGCAAGTCTCGGGGAGGGAGGAGGGACTCCCACAGACACAGCTAATCTCTCATTCCTGAACATCGGGTGACTCATTATCCCATCTGCCCAGTTATCCAGACAGGGTCACCCTTCCAAAGGTCACACGCATGCGTATGACTTAACAGGGGCATTCTGACTTTTTAGAAAAAAGCCAGCGTCAACATAAAAGATCCTTTTTCTGGGCTGCACTAATAACAGCTACTATTTATCAAACCTTTCTGAGGGCCGATGACCTACAGTCAATTGGGCGCTTTGTGTACTTTAAAAATTTAATTCTCATGACCACAGGAGGCATATCTAATTTACCCCCATTAACAAGTGAGGAAACAAAGCTCAGAGAGATTAAGGCACACACTGGCGCTGGCTCATCCTGGCAGAGGACCCCACAGCCCCCTCCTTGTCCCGATCCCAAGTCTGTACTCTGACCTCAGCAGACAGCATGATATCATGGTGGGAGTATTGACACCATGGGAATCGGCAGGCAGGACACACTGGGAACCCCCTCCTTTATTTTCCTCTTTTTTAAACCACCGAAGAACCGGTTATTAAGTATTTACCAGACCCTGAGTGGGCAGAGGCAGGATTCAAGTGTGTCTCTCCTCAAGCTCATACGCTTTCCAGTTGATGTCCACAGAAGGTGGGCTCTGTGCTGCAGCGTCATCGGGTTGTAGGCAGTGGGTCCTCAGGAGCCCAGTGGCTGGGAGACTGACCTGCCTCCTGGGCCTGGGCCTCGGTCCCGGCGCCCCCAGGAGAGGCCTGCACATACCCGGGTGTTATTAGTAAACATGAGTCCTTGTCTGTGCTGAGCTCAAGATCAACTGAAATTATAAGGGCTGAGTAAGCTGGAGACAGGATTTACGAGGTAATAATAATGTCCTCTTATATATGGCACTTTTCATCTTCAAAGCATTTTATGGCCATTTACTAATTAGTCCTGGGCTGCACTCTGTGTGCAGGAACAATGCCCAGCAATGGCGGAACTAGCAAGAAATCTTTAAAAACAGACAGGGGACCATCGTCCATTTACAAGCACCATTTGCTTCTGTTACTGTTGGGGTAGAGAGAAAATCCAGTTGTGAATCCCAGGCATCTGAAGTATGAAATGGTTGTTTCCATCCCTTTGGTTTCCCCTAAAAACACCAGTTTAAACCATCCCCGCTGTGGCTAGGGAGCTGCAACTCTTTTAAAAATTCTCTCTCCATGCTCACACACCTATGGTTTATGAAATTCTGCATGATTTCACCAGCAAAGACAGAAATTAAGTCTGTTACTGGAGAGTCGTAAGACGGGAAACAAGGCACCCGCTGTGGAGTCAGGAGCTAGGTTGGGTCCCGACTCTGGCACCAGCTGGCTGTAATGTTGGGTGGGTAACTAGACCCCCAAGTCTTCTTCCTCATCTACAGAACAGAGACAAGCCTACTGATTGCTTCCTTAAGATGGGCTGAGATAAAGCCCAACAGCCCTTCCGTGTTAGACCACAGCTGCATTATCTGGCCAGCCTGAGCATCTGTGGACCCTCAGAGGTCAGCAGGGGCAGGAGGGTGACGATCCCCCACCATACTGGCCGCTCTTGGCTGCTGTCACTCCAGGCTGGCTATTTGCAATGCTCAGGGTCCAGGTCACGTGACCTCGCCCCCTCCCACAGGTGCCACCCATCCTGTTCGCACTGGCACTTGAAGCCCCTCCTGGGTAGAAGCAAACCTGACTCAGTCAGCTTTTGGCTTTGTGGACAGCAAGCCCAACCCATGGCCCTCCAAGGGGAGAGGGTGGCCACAGCAAGCCTCAGAGCCAGTGTCATGAAGCAGAGAGCGGGGCTTGGCTGCAGCTGCCCTGGTGTGGAGTGGGCCGTCATCAGCCAGCCGGCGTCAGAAGAGACTCCAGAGAGCCCAGCTAATTTATAATTTAGGTCATGACCACTTGCTCAGTGGAATCACCTGGACTGTTTTATCAAAGTCCAGGTGCCAGCCATGTCTGGTGAAGCAGGCTTGCCGTGGGGCCTGGGCAGAAATTCCAGAAAGCTCCCGCTGTTCTGAGGAGCCAAGTGCTTGCCTTACAGAGACGGGACTGACTCAAGGTCACACAGCCAGCATACGGGAACGCTGGGGTTCAGACACTGGGCACTGGCTGCTCTCCACCATGGGAAGTCCCCAGGTGTCAGGGCTTGGGGAAAGGCCCATGGTAGAAGAACCAGCCCTTCAGCTGGTGGTCAAGCCAGAGGTCTGACAAGCTGCTCTCCTGCCTCCTGACAACATCCCTGGGCACCATAACAAGTACCATAACTATGTAGGGAGGGCCACAAGGGGAACTGAGGGAACAGGAGAGGCCAGTGTGGGCTTCACCTTCGGCCAGAAGGGCAGGTGGGTGTGGTGTAAGCGCAAACACAGGCGGCCCAGGCCCGCTGCTGCTTCTCTCACCCCCGTGCATGGCTCCCCGTTCCTTGCGTTGAAAGTCTTCAGGGGAAACAAGGCTGAACGCAACTGTACGTCTTGTACAGCGGGTGGCTGTGAGCGTCAAGGGAAGTTGTGTGAGGATGTGGGAAGGCCTGGCTCGCTACTCCCCTCCCGGGTTTGCAATTCACTGGGGAAGCTTCGGAAGCTCTGGGGCCTTAGTTCCTGCCTCTGTACACCGAAAGGAAGAGCAGGTGAGAGGGCTGGGGTGGAAACTAGAGGACTTCTGAGGCCCCTCCAGCTCTGATAATCCACGTTTAAGAAAAATGGAGCTTGCTCAGGGTGTCTCCTAAAGTCTGGAGCTGTGCCAGTCTTGCATGCGGTTATCACACGCACACCAGGCATGAGACCCACCTTTGGCCTCTCAGGTATAACCGGCACAGTGCTGCATAAGCCCAGAGAGCGCCCCCATCAGCCCAGCCAGGGAGGGTGCTGGGAGAGAGGGAAGGATGGAATCACACACACATTCAGCAAATTTTAAAGACTGCAGCTGGGTCAGGATGGGCTGTGCAGGGGAAGCCAGAAGGGCAGGGGGAGGCACTGGAACCCAGCGCTCCTGCCGGCCTGCCTGGCTGGGTGGCCGAAACGCTGCAGGTTGCTCAGGTTCACTGGGCCAGTTTTCTTCCAGTGGGGGACAGCCCCACGTGAGAAACGCTGGGGTGTAAAATCCACGTCATACACCGGTTTCGGGGGGAAAAAGCGAAGATGTGTTTAATTGTAAACTTAAAAGAGTTCTCGGAGACAAAGTCTTTGGAATACGGACGTGAGCATTTATGTCTTACTTTCCCTGGAAAAATACTGTGTTGCGACTTGACTATAATTCTCCCCACTAAGAACTATGCCGAAGGAAACAAAGAGGGAGCAAGCAGGTGTGGGGGCTCGAGGATGCCGGGTACCGCCAGCCAGCCAGCTCGGTTTGGGCTCCGGGAGAGTCGGGGCTGTCTGGGGCTCGAAAAGCTGCTGTGTAAGCAAAACGCTGCCGTGAAGACATTCCAAGTGGCTTCCAGGAAGCGGCCATATGTGCTGACACGCATGTGGACAGAGGAGTCTGCTGGCCCCCTCTCAAGACTGGTGTTTCCTAGAGCTTTCCATTGGCAAACGCTGCCTCCTGGAACTGAGGGACAAAGGTTTTGAAATAAGCCCTGGTGGGAAAAGAGGAGAAAGAAAAACTGTGGTTAGCACAAACAACTGGAAAAGTGCAACTCAGAGCTTTCAACCTAACTCAGAACAGTTGTTATTTATTGTTCATGCATCTTGGGTTGGATTTTCCTTCCCTGTTGATGCAAAGCCCTCTGGATTTTTCCAAGGGAGATACAGGCAGTTTGATTATCGCTCATGGGTATTTCGAGGACCTGTACACAGACCTTGCTGGCTGCGATTCCCACGAGACTTCGCTACTCGGGTTCTGTCTGCCTTTTTCCAGGCCAAAAATAAGGGCTGGATCCAAGCTACAACCCTGAGAGGGGCCCACTGTAGTGGCAGGAATGGGCACAGTGCGGGATCTCTATGACCCCAGCAGATGGGGTAAAGGAGTCCTGGAACCCTCAGTTTGGCTTGTAATTGGGATTTTACTGGGTACACAGAGGCAGGGGTGCCAGGGGGCCGGGAGGCTGGCAGGCCTCCCAGCCCCTAGCAAGTCTTCACTCTTTCTGGGCTCTCCGGCCTTCTCTGGTGGTCTCTGCTTCTCTACTCTTCAGTTCGTTCTGCTCTACTGGCGTCCCCGTGACGCCACCCTTATAAGCCCAGTCTCTCAGCACAGGTGGACTCACTTACACATGCGCACACCCTACTCCAGGTGCTCGCCATCGGGCATGCATTCAGGACCGCAAGGATCCATCATCAATCCTAATGGCGGGAGGGCAGAAAAGCCTGATGTTTTTTCACTTACCCTACACCCACCCACCCATCGTGTCCTCTGCACAATCGGATACATCAAGAGGGCTGCCCTTTTTACTCCGTTGGACCTTTAACTTCGTATAAACAAGGAGGACCTAGTAAAAAGAATTTCTAAGTGGCCCCTGGCTGCCATTCACTTGTAAACATTGGTGCAGCACTAGAAGGCAGACCAGGCTGGCTAGCAAGAGGACCTCTGGCTGGAGACAGGTGATGGGATGTGGGGCAGACTTCCCTTTCTGGCACCCAGATTCTAATCTGCAGAAGTGGGGTTCCACATTGTAATCAGAAGAGGGGCCCACTCAGGGCTAGGCTTTGTATGAGGCGCTGTGAGATGACCTAGACACGGCACCTGTCAGGTGAGTGCTCAGTCTGGTGGAGCAGACACATAGGTCATGCCAAGTGAGGCACCATGAGCGCTGGTCAGGGACAGTGACAGCGGAGGTGGGGCAGCAACTGCAGGTGTCTAGGCAAGAGGCAGCAGGGAAGAGGCTTAGGGGAATGGGAAGGCTGGTTGTGAGCGGGGATCTAAAAACTCTGCCAGAAGTGGGAGGAATCTGAGAGGTCGGATGAGAGCCACAGACCCCTGGGGTGCACCCAGGTGTGCCTTCGAGGGGCTCCGTCCCTCCCTGCAGAGTCGTCACACCTTACTTCTCCAGAAATGGCTCGCAATGCAGTTATTGATGACAGCTGACTGCCTCCCCTTCACCACACGTCAGCTGAAACCCTCTTTCTAATTCCCAGTGCCTCTTGCTTTCCCAGTGCCAGCTGCTTCTAAATGTCAGCGCCTCCCTCTGGAAGCCTCCCCTGGATAGCATACAAGATCTGCCTCTCCACACGCCCAGATGGACTCTCTCCCTGGGTCTCCCCTCAGCACAGGGGCGTTACCTCAGCAGCCCTCACTGTCCTCCCAAACCTCTGTCCCCAATTTCCAACCACCTGCGGGACACTGTGACCTGCTCTTTCTGAAATTCAAACCAGCGTGTTCCAAGTGGGAGTTATCATCATGGTGTACTTAAAAGCACTCCGGCCTACCTGTACTTCTGTCCAGAGCCCTCAGTTTCCACTTTTCCCCAGAGCCCCGAGGTGATTTCATCCGGAAGGCGCTTCCTCCCCACTGTCTCTATCCTTCGTCACCCCCTGGGCCTCCCGGTCTTGTTACCACTGGACAAAACCACTGCAGTTGCTGGTCTCGCCCCAGATGTGAGGCTCACCTCGCCTTTCTGTTGCAAGTAGATACCTGGGGGTCTGTCCTTACCCCAGGTAAGACCCTCCATGTTCCCCAAACTCTGGGCTTGGCACCCAGTGATTTTCACCATTTGGCTCCAACACATTTGAAAAAAAAAAAATGCTGTTTTTCTCTTTTCTATGTTCATTTCTGAGATCATGCACCAACCCTTCCACCCCCCAAGGCACACTTTTAGAAGCTACGCAAGCTAAGGACCCTCTCCAGGAAGAGCTGCAGGTGAGACTCCCCACGGCGCGCATTTCAGGCTGGGAGACGCCCCTCCTCTTGGCCGCTGGCTCTTCCTCACACATGCCATCTTCCACCTCTGGGCTTTATTTTTGAAATGTCCTTGTTATCGTCAAGTCTTCCCCGTCACCGGGAGGTTTTCTCCCTGCACGTAGACACCGTGCCGCTTCCAGGACATTTGTCACATGTGCACGTCTGGCCTGCCTGGCTGCACTGCCAGCTCTGGAGAGCAGGGACCTTCCTCTCTTCTCAGTGACCCCCACAGGCCTGCCCAGGCGAGCACTCAGCGGGGACTTTGTGGCTGTAATTAAGGAACCACTGAGGGCCACCGGTTTGCGAGAGGCAGTAAACCATGTCCAATACATGCTGCTTGAGAGGGGGCGAGCAGCCCCAGAAAGCAGACATGTATTTTGTATTAAAGAAAACTGTAGGCCATTTTCAAACTATGCCCACAACTAAGGGGTAAGGCCCCCTCCTCCATCCATCACGTACTGCTCCAGGGTCCTGCGCCGGCTAAATCACCCTCTTTTGAGAAACTTGAGGCCTCAAAGCCTTAACCCACCATTTCACATCCCCAGTGGAAAGGGCAGAGTGCCTTGGATCTAGTGAGGCTGGCAGGCACTAGAAGCCCCGAGCTTTGTTTCCCCGTGGGAGTGGGGGTGATAAGCCCACCCTGACACAGCATCCCCATGAACTGTTTGTCACCTGCCTGTACCCCCTCCTGGCACTTTGAGTGTGTTGGCTGAGAAAGCCTGGTGGCCCTTCCTCAGCGGGTCGGGGTGGACCAGCTGCTTCCAGCCCCACATTGGCCTTGCTGCTCCTTGCTGCTGAGACTGCGCCCCCCCAACCCCCCCCATCCCAGCGCCACAGGCCACAGGTGAGGACACTGAGGGGAAAGGCTGGATCCCCGACCAGCGCCTGGTGAGGGAAGGGTGCGGGCTGCTGTGGCAGGACCCTGGCAGGGAGCTCTCTCCACCCCTTTGCTTCAGGCCAAGTCACGCTGGGTCCTGAAGGGAATCTCAGCAGCTCAGTTTTCCCGGGAAACTTCTGGGGGAAGAGGCTGCAGCAGTACAACCTCCTCAGACGGAGAATGCTCAGCAAGAGGGGGCATGTTTCCTTCTTCAGAAAGTTCTAAAGTTTCCTGTTCTGTCCTGGGCTTTCCCTGTGGAGGCACACTGCGTGCAGCCAAGGGGAAGCGGCGGAGAGGGCTATTTAAGGCACGATGCCACCAGCTGCTGTCAGCGCGCCCTGCGCGCATCCACGTGAAGTCAATCAAGGGGGAGGGGCGCGCGGCTGCTGGCTTCCATCCATTTATGGATTTTTTTTAAGCTGTTTTCATTTATTTCACTTTTTATCAGGGAAAATGGAGAGCTGCCCAGGGCGCAGCTTGCCGACGGCATGAGTGTTTTGCCACCTTTTAAAAAACTCTTTGACCCAAAGACAAAATGTACGTTGAGCTTTCAAAGTGGAAGTGTGTCCCAGCGCGGGGGAGGGCGGGTCTCCTCGCCGCCCCATCACGGGCCCTCGCGAGAGAAGCCGAGTCAGTCAAGCTCCTCACTCCACTCAGCTGGAAGGGAGTTTATTTTTAGACTAAATTAGAGCTCCGTGTGCCTTAGGGCGAAGTAAGGTTCTGACCCTCTTCACTGATCTGTCCCTTTGCTATGGGTTTTACAAAATCACAACTCAGTCCAATCCAAGGGCCTCCGGTTAGGAGAAGGAAACTGAAAGAACTGACCTTTGAGGGAGGCTGGGGGTCTTCCATGAATGTGCAGCAAGGAGGGCTGCTGGCCCACACCTCACTCAGCCCAAGGCCTGGCGGGGGCTGGAGCAGACGGGCTCGTAGGGCCAGGAGTTGGGGAGCTGGGGTGTGCAGTGGGCCTACTTTTCTGACTTTGGGTCCGGAGTGAATCTCCCCGCTTCTCCGGGCCCAATCTCCCCGCTTCTCCCACACCCACAAAGCAGGGAGTGGAGTTGGTTGATCTCCAAGGTCCTGGGGGCCGTGAAGGACACGTACTGAAGTGTGGGCTCTGGGGCTGGTCAGATCAGGGCCTCAGGCCTGGCCCTGCTCCTTACTGGCTGTGGGGCAAGAGACGCACCCATGTCACTTTAACTTCTACTCTAAGAGGAGAACAGCGACGCGCACCTTAAAGGGTAACCCTCCCAAGGATGGGGTAGGTGGCCCGAGTAGGCAGCCGGCAATGTGTCGCTTATCAGATGATCAACGCATGTCCCTTCACCAGGGGCCCAGCTGGCTCTCAGTGAGAGGCTCTGAGTTTGGCGGGGGTCAGTACATGTGTGGGTGCAGAAAAGGGAAGCCCTGTGTGGAAAGAGGGTGCTTGTCCTCGGTTCATCCTCACCCTGGGCTTCTTGGGTTACTTCTTACTTATACCGAGTTGGCAGCTGACAGCAGAGATGGCCAGTCAGGGCCGAACACCCAGCCAAAGCCGCTCGGCCACTGCAGCTCTTCAAATGTAGTCCATAACTGCTGGTGGCATCCCTGTGGTGTCGAGGGAAGGGCACTGCAGTGGTGGCACCTTCGGGCCCTTGCTGTCTCATGCCCCAGTGGGGGCTGGGGGGGAGCCAGGGCGGCGTGCAGCCTGGTCCAAGGCCCGGTTGGGGAGGTGGTCGTGGATGTGGGCTGAAGCACACTTACAAGCCACACAGCTCTGGCCACCCTAGAGGGGTCCTGCCCCCAAACAGACCTCTGGCCAGAACATGTGTCATAAAGGGGAGGCAGGGGGTCAAGTGGAAAAAGTTGAGCCATGAGGCAGAAGA